TAATTTTTTCTATTTTTTGTAGAGACAGGGTCTTGCTATGTTGCTCAAGCTGACTTTGAACTCCTGACCTCAAGCAATCTCCTGCCTCAGCCTCCTAAAGTGCTAGGATTCAGGTGTAAGCCACTGCGCCTGGCCCAGATGAAAATTTTTTAAGTAGGTTCTAACACTGTGATATACAGTTTGGTGAAAATTTTATGTTAAGAAGTTTTCTGAAGGGAAAATGAAAACTTTTCTTCCAAATAACTATTTTGAAACTTCCACAACAATATTCTTAAAGTGATATTGAAAACATAGAATCCGGGCAGATTTCAATGTTGGGTTATAAATACCAGGCAGGCTCTTGCCTAACTAACAGACTGCTTTGTAGGGATTATCCCACATTCCTGATAATATCCAACAGTTAGCCTTGGTTATCGGAATAGAAAAGCTTTAAAAATCTAAATCTCAGTAAATTCCTTCCATTGATCCTGAATTTCATAGGATGAGGCCCAAGTGTTTCCAGATTGTCTAGGCAACAACAACCTCTGTATCAATAGTTGACTCCTGAGGAAGTCTCAGACCCTTCTGAGAATCTGATGAAAACCATGGACCTTCTTCCTAGGGAAGTGCAAAGTTCTTAAGCCAAGTTCTATGTCCCAAGAGAAGAATATTGCTCTATACCTTGCACCAAATGGAGACAGGTGATGACAATCTCAAATTCTGTGACATAAAATCAACCTTTCCATTTACTCAATTTGTTAGGGAAAACAAGTCTTTTTACAGATTCCAAATCAAAGACATTGGGGTAGTGAATTAGCTTAAAGACAGCTCTGGCCAAAGGTACTGATCCTACCCACCCAGTACACACTTCCAAAATTCCACGTGGTGGATACTTCCTGCTTTTCAGTACTGGGCTCAAATGTCACCTCCTCGGAAAGGATTACTTTCCTGACCACCCTATCTAAAGCTGTTCCCAGGCCCTCTTTATCACGTCTTGCTCTTTTATTTTCGCAACAGCATTTATTAATATTCAAAAATACCTCATTTACTTAGTTATTTTGTCTCTTCTATTAGAATATAAGCTCCATAGGGGCAAGGTCCTTGTCTGTCTTGTTCTCCACTGTATCCTCAGTGACTAGTACACAGTGGGCATGTGACAAATATTTGAAAGATTAAAACTAAAAAACAGGATATTGATTTTTGGCATCAACTACCAAAGCTTTAGCTATGAATTAAACTTCTCTCTCTCTCTTTCCATAATCTGAGGGTCCATTCAATCAGCAAGTATTTATTGAGCACCTATTGTGTGCTAGGCACTGTCAGAGGTACAAGGGATAGAGAGCAGTGAATAAATCAGACAACTATCTTTGCTGTACAGACCCTATGTTTTAGTATATATTTTAGTGGACTGCCCAGAATAAGCAGATGTCTTATTGCACATTACAAAGCCTGGGATATACAGATCACTGTCTACATTCCTTCCTTGCGGGAAAGAGCTATGAGAGATTCCCAAATGAAAGTGAAACATTCTCCAATCGGGCACTTCCAAAGCAAGCCTGAGGAGTTTCCCTAAACCAGTTGGGCGGCTCTTCCCACCTGGTCTGCTCACCGGGGGGAACCCCCAAACAGCAGAGCCCAAGGAAAGAAAAAACTTAGAGCAAGGGCTACTGTTTCCGAGGACTTGGAGGTGGTGAGGGGAGGAACCAGGAAACAGGACAAGGAGTCGTGGCAAGAGCCCTGAGCTGGAAGGCTGGAGAACCAGCCCTGGCTGTCACCAACTTGCTAGGTGACCTTGGGCCAGTCCCGAATTGACCGGGCATCAGTTCCCCGCGGGCTATGATAAGGAGGAGACCAGGAGTACGGGATTCGGGTTCAGGGGTAAGCGGAGGCCAGGAGGCCGGGCTGAGGCCAGGTAGGGTAACGGCTGGCGTGGGGAGGCCAGCGCGGGCCGGGAGGGAGCGGCTCACCCACCGAGCGCCACCTGGCAGGCCCTGCGCAGCTGGGAGTGCTGGGGCCGCTTCACCTCCTTGTCGGCTAGGATCTTCTCCAGGGCCCGGGACACGAACATGCTCTTGGTCTGGCTTTCCTGCATGGCCCCGGCCCGGTGGGGGCTGGCAGCCCCGCGGGCGGGCGGCGCGAGCGAGCGGGCGAACGAGGCCGCGGGCCCGGCGTCCCGGCCGGCACCGGCCGCGTCGGTCCGCGCCGCCCAGTCAGGAAGCGACGCCGCGGCCCCACGGCGCCGCCATGTTGGAGCGCGTCACGTGACCACGTGACTGGGGGGCCGCTACGGGCGCCGGGCGTCCGTCGACCCCGTGACCCTGGCGGGGCGGGCCCAGGGCTGGGGGCGGGGCCAGGCGGGCGAGCCCGGGAGCGGAAGAGCGAGGGAAGCGGAAGGAGGAAAGACGGAGGGGAGGTCCGCGGGATTAGGTGCAGGGAAGAGGGAACGTGGGGACAAAAGGAAGGAGGTGAAAGGGAGGAGAGGTGGTGCTGGAGGTGAGAGGGAGAGAGAGAACTGGGGGAAGGAATTGGTGAGTGAGAGAGATGATAAGGGGCAGGAGGAGGAGGTGCGGGGAGAGAAGATGGGAGGAAAGGAGTTGGTGAAGGAATGACAGAGCTGATAGGGATGGAGGGGAGGGAAGCAGTAAAGAGAGGAAGCCAGGGGAGTAAAAGAGCAGGCGGAGGCATGAACGTAAGAGGAAAAGTGAGATGGGAGGAGAGAGGTGGAGATGGGGAGAGGGGAGAAAGGAGGTAGGAGAAGGGCTGTCAGGAGAGGAGCAGAGGAGAGGAAAGCAGGAGAGAAGAGGAGAGGGAAGGAGGAGGAAGGAAGTTAGGAGAAGAGGGAAAGCGGAAGGAGATAGAAAAAGAATTGGTGTGGAAGGAGACGAAGGGGAAGAAGTGAGGAAGGATGGAAAGAACGTGCTAGGAGATGGAGAGAGAAGAGGAAATGGAAGGGGTAGGGAGTGGAGGGAGAAGGGAGGTGAAAGAAGGCAGAGAGAGAGAGGGATAAGGTGTATTCATGGACACTTTGCACCAGCGGGATTTCACCATGCCTGTGGCAAGACGCACTGATCCACACAACCTCCTGTGACCTCAGTGGCGCCAGCTGCTGGCCCTCCAGTTGAGTGAACCGTTTATGGAGTGCCACCTCTGTGCCTGTGGAGTTTATCTGGTCTCTTACAAACCTGTGGCTCCTCACAGGACAGGGGGCTTTGAGGGTATTTGACCAAAGAAGAAATCGAAATGGCAAGTGTCACCCAGCTGCAAGTGAGTGTAAAAAGATAGATGTCTGGAACCAGGGCAGCTTCCACTCCGTCCCGCAAAAATGATGGTATCACCACAGCCATTAGCGATGTCCCCTGGATCCCTCCTGCCTCCCCCAGGGCAGATATGGTGATGCTGGGGCTCCTGCAAGGACAGTTGTCTTTCTTGGAAACTGTGGAGATTTCTCAGGCAGGCCTGCCCAAATGCTCAGGTCTGGGCTCAAACATCTCCATAGGGAGGCCTTGCGTTCTCTCCCCAGATGATGTTTTTCATAGTGGTTTCTGACCTTTTGTAGAGGCCGCAGAGGGGCAGGCTGTATCCCCAGGGCCTGGTCCAGAGCGAGGTAGAATGTTTCATGGCCATAAATTCCATAAGTTCTACTGCTTGTGATGCCACTTTGAAGCTCCTCCCAGCAAGAGGTAGAATCTCTTTCTCCAGCTGGTGAACTTGGACCAGTCCTGTGACTGGTCTTGACCAATACAACATGGCAATAGTGAGGCTGCACAAGTTGCAGAGCCTAAGCATCCAGAGGCCTGGCCCAGTCCTTTGCACTCCTGAATGCTGCATGATACTCAGAAGTAGCCCCACAAAAAAGGGCATGTGGAGAGAAAGCCAGTCATCCTGGCTGTCCCAGCTGTGCCCAGTCCCCAGCCAACTGTTCAGCTGAATACAGGAGCATGAGCAACTCTGGTAAGACCTGCAGAACTGCCCAGCCAACCCGTAGAATAGTGGCAAACGACAAACTGTTACTTTGAGCTACTACATTTTGTGGTAGCTTGTCACAGCAACAGATCACTGAGATACCTGTTGAATGAATGATGAAGTGAGTGAATGAATGAATGTGTGAAATTCCCAGAAGGGTACAGTGCAATTGCTGAGTAACAAGTTTTGAGTGACCCCCCCCCCGCACCGCCACAGCAAGGCCAGACCATGTCGCTCCCTCACTGAAAACCTAACAGTGCCCCCCCACCATTGCCCTTGGCATTGAGTCTTGGGATTGCACTGTGGCCAACAAGGTGTAATAGGGACCCTGCCGATTTCTCTGACCTCATCTCTCTCCTTTCCTCCTTCTGGGAACTCTGGCCACTGTGGATTCCTTTTTGTTCCCGAGGGCTTCTGTCCCTCTCAATCAGGGCTTCTCAATGAAGGCAGTAGCACCTCCAGTGTCATTTTGAAATTTTGGGGCGGGGAGGGATATTTTTATTGTCATAATAGGAGCAGGAATGCTAGACATCCTATAAAGAGCTGGACAATCCCGTATAACAAAGAATTCCACGTGTGCCACGTGGCTGGACATTCCTGGAGGTAAAAAAACCTATTGAAAATGATCTGAGCCCAGAACCTAAATCTGCTTTACATATAAACAAAAGTATTTTTTCACCATTTTTATCACCAGAATTTCCAGAAATGTACCTATCATTGTAATTCAAGGGAAAAATGTATTTTGTCTAGAACTTTACCAAATATCGTTCACAGTTTCAAATCCGCGTTGCCATCATTTACCCAGACATGATATCTGATTCGCCATAGGCACCCCTGGTCAGTCTGCTTCTGTAGCTGCTGAAATCCAAGGGATTCTAATTTTAGGTTCCAGCATCTGACTGCTTCATTGTGTCTTCTAGTGTAATCGTACCTATGCATATATTTATTGAAATAAAATTTGCAAATTATACACTATATCCCTTTTGTTTCATCTTTGTAGTTTTATTAAAACTATTGTGTAGGAAGGTTTTATTGCATATGAATTTCATTTCAGAATAGTTAACAGAGGCCTTGTAGTTATAAAAGGGGGTGTCTGGTGTCTGTTGGGGGTGGAAAGCACTGTTGGCTGGCCCTTCCCACCACTGTACGCTCAGCTCAATGTCATCCTCGAGGTCACCAGCCCCCAGTCTTATCTCCCCTGCCCCCACCACTTGATTCCACATCATTTTGATTTATTTCTTAATTGCACTAAACTGAATTTGAAATGGTGGCATTTATTTATCTATCTGTCTTATTACTTATCTGTTGCTGCATTATAAGTCACCTGAATAGTGGCTTAAAAATCATTTATTATCTCAGTTTTTGTGGGTCAGGAATTTGGGAGCAGAATGGGTGGTTCAGGATCATGATCTCTCATGAGATTGCAGTCAAGCTGTCAGCTGGGGCTGCAGTCATCCAAAAGCTTGACTGGGGCTGGAGGACCGACTTCCAAAGAGACTCACTCACATGGCTGTTGGGAGGAGGCCTCAGTTCCACAGAGCTGCTGGAGTGTGCTCATAATGTGGCAGGTTACTTTTCCCAGAGTGAGTGATCCAAGAGAAGATGGGGGGGGGGGCACTGCAAGAAGCGGAAGTAATTAATTATTAGGCTCCCTCTTTGAAAGGAAAGGTATATTGTCACAATGTGTTTGCCCACTTACCATCTTGTCTTTCTCAGGTAGAGTGTGAATGCCGTGAGAGCTGAGACGTTGTCTTGCTCACAGCCCTATGCCCAGAACACATAGTAGGTGCTCAATAACTGTGGAGTGAATGAATGGGGGTGGTTCTAGTGGAGTCTACAGGATTTAATATTCAGTCAGCAGTTGTTGGGGGACAATTTGTATGTTTCTATTGTAGGCACAATAATGGTCTCCAAAGATGCCACAGTTCCAGGCAGCACATCACTATCCGCAAGCAAGATGAAGAGACAGTATCATATCCATTCTCTTCTTCTTCCTTAAAAGTAGAAACTCCAGTTTTTAGCTGGTGACATGACCACCTGGAATATGGACCACATTTCCAGTCTCTGTCGTAGGTCGCTGTGGCCATGTGACTAAGTCCTGGCTGACTGGATGCTGTTTCTGCTTTTTCTCCGCTCTGCCGACTGGAATGCAGCTTTCATGGCTGGAGCTCCAGCAGCCGGCGGTGAATGCCCTGGGGAGAGCCCAGCAGGGAGACTAGACATTTCGGGGCGTGCTCTGCTCAGTCTCTCAGGGTGATCAAAAGGTACCGGGCGGCCACGAGCATGACCCATGTTCCCCACGTGTAACCTTTAGATAAGCGAGAGGGAGAAGGAAGGCCCTCCTGGAAGAAAGGAACAGCGTGCAGTGCACAAAGGTGTGGAGGCTCAGTCGGCCAGGAAGCGAGCTGGGACTCTTGGTCCTCCTTGGACAGAAAATGGAGCAGGGAAATGAGAGGACCAAGGGTCAGGGGAGTGTCAAGTGGGTGTTTAAGACAAACGGAGCTTGGGGGTAAGTTTGAAAAAGGAAATTGGAGAAAATTAAGAGTTGGGTCAATGTGATCAGATATTGTTGGAGTCCCTCCTTTCCTGTGGCCACAGTCTTAGTCTGCCCCGGCTCTTCCACGCAGAGTACTTGGTTGGACGCAGCAGAGACAGACCAAGGCGGAGATTTCCAGTAGCCTACCCCACCATCATTCTTTCTTTCCTCCCAGCTACATAACCCTGATTTTTAGTTGGAGACCTCACTGCTCAGCCTAAGACTATCCACCCTTGCCTTCCTTGCACTTAAGTGAGGTCTCGTGATTAAGTTTAAGCTGTGAGATATAAGCAGAGGATAAGGTGGGACTTCTAGGAGGTCTCCTAAAAAGCGAGGGGCGTGTTCCTTTTTACCCTTTCCTCCTCCCTCCTGGCCAGAATGTGAACACAATGGCTTCAGCAGTCACTTTACACCACGAGACAATGTGCTAAGTGGAGCCAGAGCACCAAGACACAAGGATGCTGGGCATCTGAAGACCTTTTGGCACCTGCACTGCTGACCGCTGTACGTCCTTCACAAAGAGAAAATTGACTATCTTAAGTCACAGTTTGGGTTTTTCTGTTATATGCAACCAAACCTAATTGATACACTAACGCTTGCTAACTTAAGCAGAAAAAGGGCTTTACCAGACGGTGAGGGAATCTTTTTCAAAAGTAATCAGAAAAGTGGAAAATGAGTTTCAGAAAATAGGTGGAAAATGAGGGATGTGAAGGGATCAGAAATTACACCAAAGAAGATTCTGGAAAGGATGCTGCTGCTGTCTTGGCTGA